GGTAACCCAGTTCTGTTGTGAAGTGGTAAGAACACTTCATGCTTACACAATATGCCGTAATACAAGCCTCCCTGTATTAAATAATCAAAGGCCATTCAGCTTGACATTGGTTTAAACGAAATGGTTAATTGTAACTAATTTTTAGCAACTGGGAAATTGACAAAGTGGAAATTACAGTAACAACCACTGAGAAAAAAATTGCTTTGCTAGACCACTATGTAACAAATTCCACATTTATGATTTTTTTTTCAATAAGATGGCCCCTTGCTTTTCCTATGTCTTCATTCAGATTGCAAAAAAGAGCATCTTAAGCATGGGCATTTCTAAAAAGTCACAATTATGTCAAAATTATAATGAATTACTTATGATGTCATCAGGCAAATAACACAACTGTGTACGTGATGTCTGACACAAGTATATAATTAGAGACGCTAGTGGTATCATCAATCTGTCATCTATTGTCTCCCCTTTTGCTTATCACAGATACCTGTGCCTTGCGTAAGGCAAAACCTTGATGGTAATTTTAATGAAACAATAATTTGGTTTAATAGTTCTGTAATTACACAGTGTGTACAAGGAAATGACTGTGTAATAAATCAGGCATGTTGTAAGAAACTATACATGTATAAAAAGAGATTGAATACTTTTATTCTATTTTGTCTAGGCAATATATGTGTTCCAGAAAGCTGCCATTTTGTGCATGCTTCCTGATGCTGATGTGAAAACAACAGGAGAAGATATTGTAGCTTTGTTTCGGTAATACTTTTCAAAAGAAAGGAATTTATTTAAAGCTTAATCTTCAAAGCTATATATCTTGAAAATGTCATGTTTTTTTCCAATTATCATTGCCTTAAACCTGCTCACCTGAGAAAGATGTTTGCATTTATAACCTTCTGATTTGTGGGGGGGGGGATCCTTCCCTATGGGTTTGCTATAGAGTTTCTTCTGCCATGTGAATTTATATTCTAGAGTGAGAGATGGCATATAAAATAAATTCTAGACCAGACATGTCAAACACAAGGCCCGGGGCCGGATGCGGCCCGCAAAGTGGTTTCATGTGGCCCATGAAGCCATCCTGGAAACAGTGAGGGAATGGCCCCCGGTGGCCATCTATACTGAAATGCATTCAGTCTTAGCTCCACAAGGCCGTCTAGAAATAGCGAGGAACCAGCCCCTGCCACGTCAGCCCCGCCCCCTGGGTGCATGCTGGGGAGGTGTCACCCTTTGTGAGGAATGAAGAAATGGACCATGCCTTGGCGCTTGCCCCGGTCCCACCCCCTTCTGCCAGAGACTCTCAGATCTGTCCCACTCCTGCCCAGGCCCCCACAGGCACCCTTGACGCGAACGATATAGAGCTGGCCATGCCCACCCAGTAAGGCCGCACCCACTCCAGCCACGCCTACCCAGTAGGCCGCACCCACCTTAGCCACACATCCCGCCCCCCCCGAGGGCAACTGCAATGCTGATGCGGCCCTCAATGAAATTGAGTTTGACACCCCTGCTCTAGACATAAGTCTATATTACACTTAGTTAAAAAGTGTTCTAACCACTCCTCTTCCAACCAGTAGCTTGTCTTAATTATCTAGGGATAATTAGTTCACAGTTTTCACATCCAAAGGGAGAAATCTGCTTCTGATCTGGCATGAACACACATTTGGGGAATCCATAGTGCACCTAAAGAATGCACATATCTGTTACTGAAATCAGATTTTTGCTCCGTTCTGCTAGAAAATTCCCAACTTAACTTTTAAGACTTGGCAGATTAGCTTCATTATAGTCAAATACTTGGACTTTCTTGCAAGATTTTTTATATCATCGATCAAATTCCATACTTTGGCCCTTACAAATTATACTGGGGATACAGTTGCATGTAATTCAATGGGATTTGCCACATTTGAAAATAGATAGGCATGAGACATCTCTTAGGGACTTCTGTTCTTTCCTTGTACAGTATATGGTTTATTAGTAGGTATGCTTTAATAATAATCTTGATATCATTTTATTTTCCAAATATACAGAAAGAGTCTGAAAAAGAATTTTACATTTTTTACATTGTAACTTTGGAAATAAATTTTTTGAGTTGCTAGCGTGGAAGCATTTTGTAAAGTATGCTTGGAAAGCTTTTTGTCTACAAGACAATAAGCTAAGCACTGTTCACAAACCTGCTTTATTACTGGAATTTACATGAACGATTTCAGCTCACTGTTGGACAGCCTTCATCTAAACGTCAGATTAGATTCATTGTTTGATCCTTTCTCCTTTCCCATGATATTCTCTTTTGTTCTTGGTCTCCTGTCTCTTTCATTGCTTTCTTGCAGATTTTTGAGATGAAGTTCCCTTTAGTGTTTAGCATTTTTATTTTCTGTACCTGTATATATAGCTAAATATTCCATAGTGAGGTCCTCCTAGCTGGTGATGCCATGATTATGGAATTCTGCTAGGGTTGGCATTGATCCTTTAAAGCAGGAGTGTCAAACTGGCGGCTCGCAGGCCGGATATGTCATGCGCAGGCCACACCCACCCCGGCTCTACAAAGGCAAAAAACATTGCAATACGTCACGATAAGTCATGTGACACAATCAAGTTTGACACCCATGCTTAACGTTGGCAATTTTAAGATGTATGGACTTCAACTCCCAGAATTTTCCAACTCTCAAGAATTTTTTCAGAATATGCTGGCTGGGGAATTCTGGGAGTTGATGTCTTAGAGTAGCCAAGATTGAGAAACTCTGCTTTAGATTTTTCTGAACCATTTAAAGACTCATTTGTTCATCCAAAGTTTCATTTGATCTATGTTGTTGTGTTTGTTGTACTTTTATAATTTTCATTTGCTATAATTTTCTATGATTCGCTTCCATTTTTATTTCTAAAAATACACAGCAGGTATTACCAATATTATACATTAAAACTAAAATACCCATCTAGGCTTTATTATACAGTAGAACTTGTTATAGGTTTGGGATTACTGAAATAGAATTGGTAAAGCAAAAAGGCTTAAAAATCAACAATATGAGCTTTTCATGTCTAAAGAAAGTACTGTTTTTCCTCTTACAGGCAAGTAGAAGGCCTAAAGCAAAGAATTGCAGGAAAATCTATCCCAACTGAAAAGTTTGCTGTGAGAAAGTCACGACGCTATGGGACCTCTCCTCCTGTGAAACTAATAGTGCCTGCTCTGGTATTTACAGCAGACTTACTTCAATCATCTTTTGAGTGACAGAGTAAAATATGTGTGTGTATGTATTCTTGTACATAACCAAGGAAAATTAGATTCCCATTTGGCTTTAACATGGAAGCCCTAATTTATTTATTAGATAAAAGCACAGAAGAAACCTATCTACTGACATTTCCTAAATATTGCTAAGATAAATTTAGAAATATGTAATCTTACTGGAACCTATATACAGTACCAATGTACTGAAGTCTGCGATGTGAGTTATAATATTTCCAACTCTTCAGAGGCTAGATGCTGAACATAAATTATTAGCAAATTGTGCAGAATATATTTTCTAATTAATAATGTAATATGTCTGCCAAGATCATTCCATAAAACTTTAGAGATACATAGATACAGGATCTAACCAATTTCAGTCTTTGTTATGAGCCAAGTTATATAATAAATATTAAAGGAATCATCTACAATTTACAGGCTGCTACAATTATAATCAATGAGATCATATTTGTAAAATATTTTATCATTTAATATTTAATAAATATACTAAATTATATGAGTATTTGTATACTTACATTTTTATTTCAATTACCAAACAGGAAGAGATTCAAGAGGGCAAATACAAAAATTAAAATCTGGCACTTTTACCGAAAAAGTATTAATTTTTAATTTGCAATTTTTCATGAAGTATATCATCTTTATAGCTGCTTCCTTTATATTAATATTTGCTTTTCAGCTAGATTCAAATCATAAATTTGTTACATTTTAAAGTTCTACAGTTAATTTACACTGAAAGAAATGTTAATGCTAAATGCTAAACAACATCTAGCTTTAATCAGAATAAATAGATAACTTATTGTAAATACCGTAAGTACTTTTCATTCAATGGCTTCTTTTTCTCAGGAAATGATGTATGTCTGGAGTGGGTTTTCAATTCTTGGAAAGAGAGCTGACTTCACTGAAAATATGTTAGTAACTATTGAAAAAGAAGAAACCCTTTTAAAAAATGAAACTCGTGAGTTTTACTTTGATTTATAAGATATAAATTACAAAACAAATGTAACTGAGTTAGAATATTTAACTATTCTATGAAGAAAAGACACATTTGCAGGCCTTTGAATTCAATGAACCTATACTGAGTGCCATAATAGAAGCCTGTTCTTTTCATGTACTCTCAATTCTGATGAATCCATAGAAACTCACACTGATAAATCCTACTTTTACACATTGCTTGTGCTTGATAACTTTAACAAGGGCCATATTTTTATACACACACATATGTACACAAAATTTTATTTAGAAATATTAATAAGCGGAGTTTTCCATATTCTAGGGAAAAAAGCCTCTTGTTAACTATACTTTTCATTCTTTCAAAAGGTTATATAGTCTTAATTTAGTTTACAGTAAATATGAAACAAGAGAAAGGTTTGTTGTAACAATAGATGTTGGTTGATCCTGGGTGGTGTGGATTTTAAAATTCTAAATATGCAGCAACTTTATTATTGTTGTAAATAATAATAAAAAAGATTGTGAGTACAACAGGTATATGGTTTTCAAAGCAAAACTGTTGATGCATTTTGCTTTGTAACTTTTTATTACAGGTAGCAAATGCAATAAAAATATTATTCAGGGAGATCCTGTATCAACTAAAGTGTCATATATCTCAAGGCTGTATAAATAAATGCAAAATAGTATTTCAAATATCAAATTCATTTTTTAAACATAGCAATTAATAGAGCTATTTTCATGATTTCTCACATATTTAATACCATGCCTGTTTCCAGAGCTATCATTTTGACCAATAATTGAATATGAATTAATGAAAGGAAGTGGGAGAATGGTAGATGATTTACTTTATTTTGAAATAGTTATTTCCAGTAAAAAGATATACTTTATAGATAGTCTGCTTTATACTCAAATAGAATATTACCAAACAACATTTTTTATTAATTTTGTTACTTTATATAAAAGTTATTAAATATTAGATTTAAAAAAATTAGATATGAAAAAAATAGTTAACTAATGATGGTATTCAACAATTGATTGTATTCACAACCTTCATTATAATGGCTGTAATTTGAAACTCACTTACGTTTCATTTTCAGATCACAATGAATATTACATGGATGATGTATGCTTGTTACAACTACTAAAAGGATTGTGTTTGAAGCATTTAGGAAGACTCTTGCAAGCAGAGCTGTGTTTCAGCCAAGTTATTCAAAGGTAAAAATTGGGAACAGAATTTTAAGATACAATAATATTCAGCAACACAGAGAAAATTTCATTTGAAAACTTCAGTTAAAACCATTAGAATATAGCTGACATTTTCTGTCCAGTTGAGCAATTGAGAATTTTCCCTGGATAGACACCAGCCAAATGGATCATGAAACTTTTGCAGATGCAGAGATCCCTCTTTTCACCTGTTTGTGTTGGTTGCCTTCTATTGGAATGTAAAACTATCCTACCATAGTACATAAATATGGTTTAAGGAAGGCATAAGGTAGCTAATTTTAACTAGTAATTTTTTTTATAGATATATTCAAAGAAAAAGAGTTTCAACAAACCTTTTTAATTGCCCTTAATAATGATATAATGTCCATTTGCATTTTAGTGAGAAGCAATTAAAGTACGATACCTACTTAGCTCCATATTCAATGTACGAGTTGGGTGTTCTATATAAACAACAGGATGAAAGAGGAAAAGCTATAAGATGTATAGAAGCTGCAAAGTAAGTAGTAATTATTTTATACAACTATAATCAATAAATACACAAACTATATTGATTTCAGCTTACTTAATTAGCATAGTTAATTCAAAATATCTTGCTGATTGAAAAACATGAACAGGAAACATTTGTCTACTCCCTTCCTGACAGAAGAGATCAAACTGTATTTCCAAATGATTTAGCTATTTCCATATTAGAGAGAAAGCTTAATTTGTTGCACAAATGCCGAAAGTACAAAAGCAGTGGGTTGGGGAAAACAATTGAAGAACACACTCTCTGAACTGAAAATGGGAGAATTGACATAAATTTGAAAGGTTTCTTCTAGAAGATCTTGTAAATCAAAAAATGACCATCTGATTACCAGGAAATTGAAACTTGGGTATTTGAGAGTAAAAAATTAAGGTGGGATTTATCTGTACTTGAGCAGGAACTAATAGCAAATGTTGGATAATGAGAGTGTCTGGATTAGGACAAGGCATAGTCTAGAGAAGTGCTTGGCAATTTGGCAAGATGGGTGGACTTCAAGTCCCAGAATTCTCCAGCCAGCAGCATACTTAAAATTTAAAAGATACAGGTAGTCCTCGACTTATAACAGTTTGTTTAGTGACCGCTCAAGCTTACAACAGCACTGAAAAAAGTGACTTATGACCATTTTTCACACTTATGACCACTGCAGCATCCCCAAGGTCACGTGATTTACATTCGGATGCTTGACAAGTGGTTCATATTTATGACAGTTACAGTGTCCTGAGGTCATGTTTTGTGACCTTCTGACAAAGTCAATGGGAAAGCCAGGTTCACTTAAGAACTGTGTTACTAATTTAACAACTGCAGTGATTCACTTAACAAATGTGGCAAGACAAATTGTAAAATGGGGCAAAACTCACTTAGCAAATTTCTCACGTAGCAACATAAATTTTGGGCTCAATTGTGGCCATAAGTTGAGGACTATCTGTAAAATATTTCCACCCGAAAAATCTCATCCACAAATTTCTCTCTTTGATTTTATTGGCGTAGTGGGGGCTGGCAAATGACCAAGTAACTGAATGTTCTTTTGCAGAAACAATTACAAGGACTATTCCATGGAATCCAGGTTACATTTCAGAATCCATGCAGCACTTAGCAGTATGAAAGTGACTCCTGCTCCAACACCATGATGCCTTCTGAGGTTGATGTGTAACATGTCTGCACAAGTTAATGTTTGAAAGCCTACAAAAATCATGTAAATGATGTAACAAGAAATGTAGTTTATATTTTCTATCATTTGTGATAATTGAATGTCTGCCTCATCATTGTGAATGCTTCTTTTTTCTATGGTTCACTTCCATATTTCTGCTTAACATTTTAGAGGAAATGTTATTTTGTTTATAGAAAGATTAATGCTTGACAATAGGGGAATATTAAAAATTGCTGGTACAATGAAGAGTAATTCCAACAACTTATTTTTTTATGGAAATACTAATATTGTTTATGCATGAAACTGTACGATACATTTGGTAATAATTTCAGCACTGCGTAAAGGCTTGTATTTCTGCAATACCTTTATTATGTAATAGGATTAACAAAAAAAAATTGGCTGCTGGTAGCCCTAGACGATGCTGTATCTGGATTTGAAGCTTAGTTTTACATACCAAAGACTGAATTACCATATTGTAGCCAAAATAATGCTTCAAGTCATTTCATGAATGTTAACTTGCATTCAGTGCAATATCCTGACCCTCTCTCTAAAGAAAGTTAGGAAAGGACTTTGAGCTTTCTTGGATAACCTAGGAGTGTTTTTAAAATATAGGAAGAAAGTATTTCTAAGTGATAAGGGTTATAAATAAAGCAAAAACCAAACAAAAGAAATGTTTCAGGTTTTGTTCCATTATATCTATTTAATTCAGCAACCTTACTGGGAATTCACTATAAAAATATGCAACTAACGTACTGAAGATTCTTATGCCCCTCATTAACACTGGAGGTCAGCAGGTTTGATTCTATTTTCTTCCATATATTGTAGCAAAATTCTTGAATTCTAATTTCATATTACTTATGGGATGGGTATCCGTAATGGTTATTTAGCATATTACCTTAATCAGATTTTTAAAAACATTTTGCAGTAACAAGTAATTAAATATTTTTATTGTGCATCTTAGTCTCATTAATATTTACGCATTTTATGTTGCAGTATTTTATGTCACAGAGCCTGCAGCAAATGATCATGTTTGAAGACCTATAAATGCTACCTGTCCAGGTTTAGTGTTTTTCCATAAGAATAGAAATGTGACTAATCAAGAATGTCTATTTAATTACCATAACTGTCTATGAAAGATATTTATTGGTTTCATGCATACTATAAGCTGTTTGAAATTAGTTTTTTCCTTGTCTTTCTCTTTCTGTATTTAAATTATCAGCTGCTAAATAAATGGAAAAGCTGGGCTTTTAATTGTCATGGACACACGCACAAAGTCCATGTTCATAAGCAGCGAGTATAGGAATACAGGAATATTTTTTTCTAAATTTCTTAGCATGGGTTCTTATATGAATGTTTTTTTTCTCCATTAGCTCATTGCAATTGACATTTTACTTCTTAATATACTTTATTCTGTAACATCTTTTCCCCATCTATTCTTTTACTCAGTTTTTATACCTTCCAGTTTGAAGAAAAGCACACTTTACATATAATTTTCCAACATGCTTATACTCAAGCTAAGAAAAGAACTAGCGGTAAAACCAATTTTTTTATAGCACATGTGGCTTTTATACTTTTAGTCTGTGTGACACAATGCATGGTTAATATCTTATTTCAACTTGTTACAAATTTTAAGTGTTTAAAAAGAGATTTAATTATTTCTTGCCTAGGGACCTCTCATATATCTAGATCAAAAGTATTCTTCATTTATCATTACAAATTGGCATTCTTGTGTTTGTTTCTTTGTCTAGAGTTTCCCATCCAGGACTCCATGAATGTCACTAGGTTACTTATTAAATTCTGTTAGACAAGAACATTGTAAAAAATGTAATTTCTAGATTTAAAGAATTGAATGTTAAACATAAGGATACAGTTAGGCTTAAATCTGTTTTATTCCAATTTATAGTTTTGCGTTAAAATATTACAACTATTCTATGGTTATAATCTCTGTATTAACACTGATTCTTTTAGCGTCATATTGCTTAGATATCCATATTCTGCATTATTCCTTTAATAAGAGCTAATTAGTTTCCACCTTCTGATAGAACCATTAGAGACACATTATATGTTTTTATAAAAAAAGTTACAAAAGGATTTTACTGGTGTAAGTTATAGTGGTAGTGGTTCCCATTTGATTTGCACTTTTATCGAGGCCAGGAAATCATACTCTAAATAGATTTAGAAATTTTGCTATTTGCAGCAAAACAGTCCAGCTTCTATCAAAACAACAATCCATGCTCTAGAACTGATTTTAATATTGGACTACTGTGGATGTAATTGACTGCTATTTTCCTTGTCTTGTTTGCACTGTATTTTGTAAAGCTGTCCGAAATTAGTTTTAAAAAATAAATAAACTAAAATGTAAACTATGTACGTTTACTTGGAAACAAAGCTATTTTGGTTAAGCAGAGCTTAGTTTAAGTATAAATAGGATTTAATGTTGATTGCAGTATAGCACAAAAATGACAGCAGTGTAACTGAGCAGAATTTGAAAAGAAATTATATCTAATCCTTCATGTGAGTTGTCAAAGTTTTGTTATCCTGCCTTTCTGTGACAGGCAACAAAATAAACGTGTGTATTTAAATAATTCTGCAGAGATAAGTGTTTCCTTGACTAAATAGGTTGCACATTCAATTGCAAGAAAATTGCCAAAGTATTTTTAGGAATGTGATGGTATATTGAAACTATAAATAAATAAATGAATATTTTCAACAAGAGCTTTCACACATTGCTTTGCTTTTCTCTCCTGAATACCTGCATATGGAATCCGTAGAACAGTGGTTCTCAACCTTTTTAATGCCGTGACCCCCAACCGGTCGTAAGTCGAGGACTAAACCGGTCATAAGTCGAGGACTACCCAACCGGTCGTAAGTTGAGGACTTTCCCTGCCCGGGAGCGCCACGCATGCGTGGTTCCGCCCCCTGCGCCGGCCGAGGCGTGGCTGGCAAGCGGCAGAGACTGAGCAGGCCGACCACCAGCTGGCCCAGCTCAAAGAAGGTAAGGCACCCGCCGGAAAAGGGGAAAAAAATGGCGGACAGCCTTGCTTGGCGACCCCCATGAAATGGTCGATCGACCCCAAATGGGGTCGCGACCCATAGGTTGAGAACCGCTGCCGTAGAACATCTGATCACAAACAAGAACTGTTCAAACTGTTGTTTTTTTCCTCTCACAGTGTTTAGCATTTTAACAATATTCAGAAAACAGTAACATTGCTAAAACTTAGTGTCAGCCACGATGCATGTTAAAGCTGTCCTCCTTAATGACAGGATAAAACCTGAACCAAACAGAGCTACCAGTCTTAGGCAGCCAAAACCACATGGGTTAAGCGCCCGTGTTAATAGTTGCAATTGTAATGATAGTTTCTTGAATATTCCCTGAAATGTTCAGGATATATACACATCACTTTTTTTTTTTGGCTGAATTGATCTAATCCTAAAATTGTAAGGAACTGATTTCATACAATCAGTCCTCGACTTATGACCACAATTGAGCCCAAAATTTATGTTGCTAAGAGAGACATTTGCTAAGTGAGTTCTGCCTCATTTGAAGACCTTTCTTGGCACAGTTGTTAAGTGAATCACTGCACTTGTTAAATTAGCGACATGGTTTTTAAGCGAATCGGGCTTCCCCATTGACTTTCCTTGTCAAAAGATTGAAAAAGGTGATCTCTATGTTGCTCACTGACTTGGACTCCGATATCCATTTAAACATTTTATTATTCATCAAGAACATAAACTTCCTTTCATAATTGAAAATAAAACCCAAACTGAACTTGAGATCTTTCTCTGTGGTATTAGTCTAACATTCCTAGCAAAGATTGGTGGTGAAAAACTGGGATGAAATGGGAAAACATGTTTGCTAATTTAAGCACCTTGAAGACAGGAGGATTAGAGACACCTTTTAAATGTGTTCACCCATTAATACACCATATATCAGAATATACCTAAAGCAACATTTTTGTTGTAAACTAATCAATCAATAAGAATAGAGCTGGAAGGGACCATGGAGGTCTTCTAGTCCAGGGGTCTCCAACATATAGGCCACGGAAATGGCTGGCCAGTGTGCGCACGCATGTGCGTGCTCTCCCCCCACTTACACTAGCGCCTGCAGCCCTGTTTGGGTGTGAATGGGGCCGCTAGTGCTGGGCGGGTGTGCGTGGCCCGTTTATTCATGCGTGAACAAAGCCGCTAGCGCTGGATGGGTTGCGCAGCCCATTTGTGCATGCGTGAATGGGGCCACGAGCCAATGCAGGGGTGCACGGCTGTTCTCGCATGTGCATGGCATCAGCGCATGCGTGAATGGGGCTGCTAGTGCCCGCCAATGCGCATGGTTTGCATGCACATGCATGCACGCACCAATTTGGTGTGCTCACCAATTCTAGTCCAACCCCCTGCTCAACCAGGAGACCCTACACTAGAGGTCTCCAACCTTTTTGGGCTTGCGGCCTAGAGGGAAGGAGAGCAGCTTCCAAATTGGTGCGCAAACAGCCACGTGCATTGGCGCAGCACTAGCAACCCCGTTCGTGCATGCGGCATGCACTGGTGCCATGTGATAGCTAGTGGCCCTGTTCACACATGCACAAATGGGCTACGCACTAGCGGCCTGTTCACGCATCTGCAAACAAGCCACGCACACCTGCCCAGTGCTAGCGGCCCCGTTCACGCCCACCCAAACAGGGCTGCAGGCGCTAGTGCAAGTGGAAGTGTGCATGCACGTGTGTGCGCACCAGCCAGCCATTTCGTGGGCCACGGCCCATAGGTTGGGGACCCCTGCCCTACACCACTTCAGAGAAGTGACTTTCCAGTCTGTTAAAAACTTCCAATGATGAAGCACCAACAACTTCAGAAAGCAAGCTATTCCACAGGTTAATTGTCCTCACTGTTAGGAAGTTTCTCCTCAATTCCAGGTTGCTTCTCTCCTTGATTAGTTTCCATCCATTGTTTCTTGTCCTGCTCCCTAGTGCTTTGGAAAATAAGTTGACCTCCTTTTTGTGGCAGCCTCTCAAATACTGGAATATTGCTATCATGTCCCGAGTCTTTCTTTTCTCTAGACTAGTCAAACCCAAATCCTGCAACCGTTCTTCATATGTTTTAGTCTCCAGGCCTTTAATCATCTTAGTTGCTTTTCTTTGCACTTTTTCCAAAGTCTCAACATTTTGTTTTGTAATGTGGTGACCAAAACTGGACGCTGTATTCCAGGTCTGGTCTTACTAAGGCTTTATAAAGCGGTAGCAATACTTCATGTGATTTTGATCCTATGCCTCTGTTTATACAACCAAGAGTTGTATTAGCCTTTTTGGCTGTTGCCGCACACTACTGGCTCATATTTCAGTGATTGTCCACTAGGACTCCAAGGTTCCTCTCACAGTTACTGTTTTTGAGCCAAGTTTCACCTAATCTGTACTTGTACCTTTAGTTTTTCTTGCTTAGGTGTAAAACCTTGCTTTTCTCCACATTAAATTTCATTTTGTTGAATAGAGCCCATTGTTCAAGTCTATCATGATCTTTTTGCATTCTGAACTTGTCTTCTGGCGTTAGGGGTTAATTTAATCCATAAATTAATTTCTGAAGACTTGACTTATAGAGTTGTGATTTGTTCTCCTGTGGACATTTTACCTAATTTTTGATACCCAGACATGTTTAGAGCAACACATTTGTTGTTTTACACTAGCAGACTTGAAGAGCTGTGGCTAAATGTATGATTATGGTACTGCATTGGCATTCAAAATACTTCATTAGGTCTGACTGAATTTTTTACCTACTTCTGGAATTTTGAGTAATTTCTATGCTCCTATTTGGAGGTGCCTTCATTCTTAAGCAAACACAATTAGGGTTTTGTTAGTTTCTACAGCTTTTCTATCAAAGACTTTGGCTCTTTTTGGTAAGTCCAATGCTGTGTTAAGGTTGCCTCAGGTCTAGAACTGAGGCAGATCCTATTTCCATTATTATCTTCATTTTATTGATAATGGATGGGACTTCCAAGGCCAGAGTTTTATAGATGATGAAATAATCTAAGGAATGTAACTGAATTAAAAACATTCCTTCTCAGTTTCTTTATGATTGTTAACTTTGAGTAATGCTGTGCTTGATTTTCCTCAGCAGGTGGCAATCTTAACAAAGCCAAATGAGGTTTATTTTTGCTTTCTGTTAATATTCTCATGTCCTTATTGTGTAATTTCATAAATTCTGTTTAACTGCTATGCCACTTTTCTAATTTGTGTATAGAACAGCAGGTAACTTAATCTTATGTGTTCATCTATATCAGTGTTTTTCAAAGTTGGCAACTTTAAGATGTGTGGACATCAATTCCAATTCTAACAGGGGAATTTTGGAAGTGGAATTCCATGCATCTTGAAGTTGCCAGGTCAAGGACTACCTGTACCAAATTTCATTCTGGAATTTCAGACAACCATTCAATATATATTGAATGGATCCAGTTTCAAGAGCGACATAGCTGTTATGAATATGAATTTGTTGCAATAGGAATGACCCAAGAGCATTTTTTTTCTCATTCTCCTTTCTCTTGCTCACTAAGTAGCACAAGGACTTTGCTATGATATAAGAGATCCATCTAATCTAAAATTGTAAAACACAATTATGATTGTCAAACGAAGGTAGAAAACCTTGTTTTCAGTCATGTGTGGAGATTCTTATGGAGCCCAATCTGTTTTATGTTGCCGACAACAAAATTATTATATAGGAAAATACTTTTATTTCTTGAACGTTACAAAACCCAGGAACCATTGCACAGAATGCAAGATGTTTAATCTATAAACTCTTTGGAGAGGTGAGAATTCCTCTTTGCTTCTGTCTTCCAGCCCACCAGATAAAATGTTTTCTCCCACCACAACATCTGAGAAATCATAGGAATGTTTTCCTTTCACTAGAGTATGTTGATATTGGGGAGTGAAACCTTAACATTATTTTGGACATCCTAATATTCTGTGTCCAAGGATTTCATCCAACCATATATTTAAACCTAGTGTGCCTAGGACAATGTCTTGACTAGCGAATATTTTTTCTAACCTTTATTTAAAGGAAAGATAAATTTCATTCACATAGAAGATTAAAGTGCTTATGACCACAAAGGGCATCCAAAATATCAGCACAATAACTCAACACTTTTATATGTAACTTACTTTTTTATGCTGTATTATCACCATTATATATTGTTACTGTTATACATGTCTGTTATATCCAGTGGTGGGATTCAAATATGTGAACAACCAGTTCTCTGTGTGGACGCTGCTTCTGGAAGTCCATTCTGGGCCTGGGCAACAAAAAATTAGCTACCGGTTCTGCCGAACTGGTGCGAACCGCCTGAATCCCACCACTGGTTATATCTTATTGAAGGGTGGGGGAGCATAACAGTTCAACCAAACTTGAGGACTTAGCAATTCAATTCTATTCATAGCTATTTTGCTCAGTGGCATCACCATTATTTTTTGTTGGTCTTCCAACACAAATGATACAAGATTGCATGCTTAGTATAAGGGAAAGTGAAGTGCTATGCTGGCATGAGGAAAAAGAGTTGGAGCCTCTTTGGATGAAGTCAGTCTGAATCTGGTTCTGCCTCCAGATGATTCCATTTCACAACCTTTCACTGGTAACATGGTTTGTTGGGATTTTACCCTCCAACCCCCAGCAGGTCAACTCAACCAGCTTGTCTTTGTCAGCAGAACTGGTGATGG